TACATATATATATACATATATAGGTAAGTATTTTTGACCCACAACCATACGAACTAAAATATATGGTAATGTGACACGACATAGTACAATGCTGTCTAATATGATATATCGTGATATGACAGGATAAAACAGCATTTTATGAAACAAACATGACATGATATGCTCAGTATGACGTTATTTGATATAATATGAAAAAAACCCAATGTAGTGTAATATAGTACAATATGGGAAAGAAAACATATAGATATGATATATACAGCTTAACATATACTAAAATAACTTGATATGGTATAACATATTATCCTATGATCGAACATAACATAATACAATACAAGCAGAACATATAATAGAACATAGCATGATGCATCTTGATATAACATAGTAGAACATAGCATACTATAACATGATACAATACAGTATATTTGTATAAATATTGTAATGTAAGGTAATAACATGTAAAGCGTCATATACAAGATGTGGCATAAAGCACATAATATATATATATATGTATTATGCAGCATAAAACATCTATATGAATAATATAATATATAGTACATAATACATAGGATATATCAAATAAGATGTAATATGTAACATAGACTAGAGCTTACAACCTATAATATAGATTATAAAGCATATATCAGAACCTGTAGTGTGTACTGGACAAGATATAACATGGAATATATCACAAAAAACTCCCAGCAGCCGAAGCTCGTGGGTTTGTAGAAAAACAATCGACATTAGAGGTCATGCAAGGAAACCGGAGCAAGACAGAACAGGCGAAATGAGGGGTCCCGCAGTTGGAACATGCCAGAACATGACGGAAAAAGCAGCCAGCCCCCCCCCCCCCCCCCAGCAGCCCGGGCCCCACCCAGCCTCATCCCCAACCGCATCAGGGCAGGTTGCGAATTGAAAACTAACGTTGTGGTTGAGCAAACAGGAAAATGCTATCCTGCTATGCCTGTATTGACCTGGCCACTCATGGCTCACAGTCCAGCTGTAGTTCAATGGGCATGCACGGACCTAGGCCCTAAATTCCCGACGTTCAATCCCCCGTGTTGTCATGCTGCAGCGGGCTGTTCGCCACCCAACCTCACCCTCCACTCAAGTGCTTCACGGAATATCGAATTCAAAAACTATTTTCCTCGGACCCCCAGCCCCCTCAGCCCCCCCAGCAAATTGCCCTGTGCACAGGAAACGCCGCCAAGCCCACGCCACCCAGCCGTCAGCCAACTCCCTGCCCCAGTTCCCGGCCTCAGCTGTAGCTCAGTGGTTGTGGACGGGGCCGTGGCCGCCGTTTTTCAACCCAGCTATCTGCTGCCTGTCTATTCCCAATCCCACTCCGGTGCGGGCATAGAGGGTTGGGTTATACCTCCACCCAATGCTGAAGTGTAGGCAATTCAAAGCTGTGAAATTTCAAACTGAAAGTAAGTTATCCGGAGTCTGGGGACGGAACACCTATTTTTACTAAACTGGTCGACCGCATAGCAGGGTCAGTAAAAGCCCCAATGCCACAAGCAGTGGCCACAAGTTGGACATGACCACTGCTGAGAGCCTTGTGATGGAAGCCCCGTCCATGTGGTAAACACGAAAGCCGTATTTCTACGCATGTTGGACACATTAAATGTGGAGCGTTATGCTCGGCCCCAGGGTCACGTCAACTTGTGCAGATGGAGGCTAAGTGCGTGGGAATGCCGCAACGACACTGCTGAGGATGGCCTCAACAGCTTCTGGACGCACGGTAATACGACTGTCGCGGTGACTGTAGAGCAAGAGTCTGCCCGAAATTCCCCAGCAATTTGTATTGTTGCGACATTGTCGAGTGTGTTGTTTGAGGTGCTGTATAACTCCTTGTCTGTCTGTCCAAGATGTCCAGGCAAGAGACGACTTTTGCATCCGGTTCTATCCTTTGCCGGTTGTTCAGTTCCTGGGATTCTGGAAAGTGTGCCAAGTACGGGATGCGCTGCTGCAAACTCTGAAACCACCACTGAGACTCAACCCCTGAACAGTTACACCAACTAAAGCCCTCGCAAGTGAGGAAAATTCCTTGCTAGTAAGGCCTCTACGCAAACGGCGACAGAGGGCGTCCCCGTCACGTTGGCCATCACCTGAACTACATTGGGGGGTAGCGCCACCGGTCTGTGGCTGTTGTGTCACTTACGGGATGGCCTTCCCCACGTAGTTTTATCTTTGCCAAATGCCGCATGTGTTTTTTCCCTGAAAAGGGGGCCTTACGTTCTCAACAAGCTTCGTTTTATCATCCCAACCATCCACGATCTTTTGATAAAACATGAGCATCGTTTTTTTCTAAAACACAGGAATACTATGTTTAACAGTATGTATTTTTCAATCCGTCTGAAGTATTCAAGTTTACTTGTTGCAAAAGTTCACATAAATTCCTTTGGCAATAAAAAAATGACATATACCTAACTTTTATCATGAAGTACAAAGTATTGCAATTTTATCATAAAGTCGCACAATGAAGGTTACATAAATATTAGTTCAAAGGCTTCACAGAAAAACTTGGTGAACAAATATTTGATCGACATTTTGTTGGTAAAAAGCTTGCGATTTTTTTACACAACTCTTGTCAACATATGTTTGCTTCACTATTTTTTGAGACTTTAGATGAGATGGTGTACATAAAAATAGTTTACGCTCTCACAACTCGGACTAGCCAGGCGATGATCCATGGTCGAAGGGCGGCGTGATACAAGCTTAAGCTTCCTTGCCCGAGACGATCCAAACAAATCATATTTAACTGCTAAAAAACCGGCCACAGTTCAGGGGCGGGGAGGCTGCATCGGTTGAGTCTAACATGGTGGGCTACGACGAAGCCCTGCAAAATCCGAGCTCCAGATTCGCCATAGTTACCGTAAGCTGAACCAGGTTCCAGAGCGCCAGATTCCAACAGGGTACACGAGCTCGGCTTTGGAGCTAGACGTGAGACTAAGTTGCTAGTACATACCGAAGTGTCAGAAGGCTCAGAACTCGATGATTTTGCGCATGATGAGCCGATGAGCGGGCTTGTCCAGCTTCGCAGAGATCATATGTCAGTCGGTGCAAGACTACAGGCCAGCAACGTTCTTCACAAAAATCTCATCGGAGGTGTAAGTCCAGCACCAGAAACGAACTCGACGAACTAACTGTCAGGGGACATGTCCCGACCCCCCTCGTTTGACTCCTCTTGCGAGCCCACGTCAGATTCAGATGGCGCGTCATGCTGTTACAGCTGTGTGCAACTGGCACCAGGTCCTCAGGTTCTGACTCCTGAGCAAGATTGCAGGTGGCTTTATCGTCGAGTCGAATCTTGCAAGGACGTTTTCGCGCTCGCAATCGTCTCGCTTCTTCCAGCGGCAACCTGCAGTCATTAACCGAGCAAGCTCGCCTCCAGAGGACTCACGCCTTCAGACACCATGGGCTCTGGCAAAGCGCCAACATCTTTGTCGCCCTTGCCATAGCCTTTGAAGGGCTACACGTTCTTCTTCCACCACTTGTAGCAAACATGGCAGCTGCATCTTCCGAGGTGCTCGTTGCAGGGCGACTTCCTCGTACACAGCCTATGATGGCACGTAGAGCACTCTTCTTTGCGAGCTCGCGGCGAAGGAGGCCGCACTTGATTCATCAAGTCTTCCAAGCGAAAGAACTGGTAGGACTGCAAAGACTGGAGCCACTGGCGAATTTCCTCATCCGTCAGACGGCGGACGGAGGTCCACGCCCATGCTGGCAGTGTGCTTGCTACCTATGAGGCTTTAGGGAAATTTGGGCCAAAAACTTGCAGGCAAAATCGCGAAATTTCACGTATCTGCAAGACGATGCATGCATGCACGCTCATCCGAGTTTTGTGCAGACAGACCATTATCATGCACAGTACTTAAGAGCAGGTGCCATCATCCAGTTGCACAGGAGGGTTATCCTCCTAAACATAAGGAGGCCCTCCTAGTTCTCAGTTTTTCTCGTTGTCCGCTCCAAAACTCGACGAGGCCCTGCAGATCCGATCTTACGATCACTCTGCCAGTGCGAGCTTCAATGCCCGAGCCTGGTTAAACGTGAGCTTCTGCTCTTGGATCCGTTTGACGGCTGCCAAGGCTTTCTGCAAGTGATCTGCATACTTCGACTCTGGGAACTCCACGATGAGCTTCTGCCGCTGCTTCGAGCCGTCGCAGTAACAAACAGTTACATAAGATCTTCCGGGCTTCTGGGCCGATACCTTCCTCACGAAGTGCAAGATAGTCTCCTCCTGCTGCTTCTTCTCCTCTAGCTTTGCAGCCCCCAGCTCTTCGGCCTTCGGGACTTCTGCCGGAAGCTGCTGGGCGGCAGGCTTCTTATGGATCGTCTTCTTCGCGACAGGCTTAATCTTCGTCATCTTGCCAGTCGCGCTGCCGACTTGCTTGCCTTGCACTCGTTGATGAAGCTTCGTGAGCTCCAGGACATTGCCGCAAGGAAAGGCTCTGACGACACAGCCCCGACCGTCGACGAAGTAGTCATAGAACTCGTCCTACATCCTCCTTCTCAGGAGGACCCTCCTTGTCGAGATCAGGAAGACCCTCCTGCCCCGAGCTCGCGACTGAGCGCAAGCTTCGCGAGGACTGCACTGCGACTACCTCCAACACGTCTTCCTCGTCCTCCTCCTTCATGGGGAGGTTGGGCTTCTGAGGGATCATGCCGTCGGCCTTCCGCACCTTCGAACCATGCAGGGCTCAGCTCCTGCGACTATGCTTGGGTCCTCTTAGCTGGAGCTGCAGAAAGGTGGAGGTTCTTCTCAGGGGTGCCTTTTCGGGATCCTTGTTGGCCTTCATGATCTGCACCAAGCGGTAGGTTGCATCTGCAGTCTTCTTCCCCGTAGTGGCACTCTTTTTGTCTCGCACATGTGAAACACATCGCACCATCTGAAGGGCGAAACTCTTGAGCAGATTCTCTGCCTCTGTGATCAAGCTCTGCTAGGATTCCTTGTAGGCTCCCGGTACGGCGAGGTTCTTGAGTGCTGGCTGTAACCCGAGGACGCCACAAGGCATGCTGAGGCCTTGGGGCCAAGGCCCCTAACTTCGTCAAGGCAGTAAATATCCCCCTCGCATTTTTGGCCCCTGATTTTTAGTATACCACCATCATCATCAACGAAAACTCAAAGGCCCATGTCCATCGAGACCCTCGAAACGGACCCCAACTCACCCTCCTCACTACCCTCAATCCCGTCCCGAGCTCAGAAGGGGACTTGGATTCAGGATAGGCTTGGTTCTGATGTTACGACCTTTGAAGGACGTCCTTTAAGAGGTACGGTGCATCCGGTGTACCCCGAGCCATTCTTTCTTGATGCTAGACGTCTTCTCCATGCAGTCTGTCCAGGGGCGAGCCGACGAATCTAGCGCTTTACATGTCGGTTCGATGGATGTCGCTAAAAGCTGGGCACTTGGAGACATCCCGATGCCCGCTGACGTTCGTTCGTACATGCATGTGTGAAACACTCCGTGAGGTTAGGCTCCGCCAGCGATCCATACGAGACTGCGTTGAACTGCAAGCTTCCACAGTTGACCAACATGACATAATTGAGATTGTCGCAGACTGTTAAACATTACTGCCCTCTAGGAACACTGTGTTTAGAGTACTTTTTAATGCACAAGTACGAGCCTCTGACGTCTGCGACATCAAGGCTCAAGGACCCGAACACTCCAGTGCGGTGACAGGAAAAGTGAGCCGCGGTTGTGAGAGCAGGAACCCCTTACTTAGTGAAGCCCGTTCTTTAACGTGGTAGCGGAGCTGCCTGGATCAGGAACCTTGGCAGCGATGATGCTATTCGGAACTCGACCCAGAGACTCCAAAAGTCGTTAAACGTCGTTTAAGGTATAATATCTTAAATTGGGAAAAGGTGTTTTTCCTTAATTAAAGTGCTTTTTTTACATACCTTGATTAAGGGCTTTTCGTGCGGTAATAGATTATATGCATGGGCATGCTGCATATATGGATACATGCATGGTATATATATATATAGAGATAAAGTCAGAAGCACATTTAAATGCAATGACTAGGAGGAGTCTCCTGTCGAGGAGGGCCTCCTATGTATACTATAGGACGAAACTCCTGTCGAGGAGGGCCTCCTTGAGGGTGGGCCTGCCGATGCCAGTTTTAAGTTTATTGATTATCGCGGCATGTAGCTTGCTGCATGCATGCCGCTGCAGAGGAGGATCGGCATACATATAGCTCGCAGGTAGATTCGAAGTTAGCAGCATGGGAATCGGCCAGCGAGCGAGGAACACAGCATCGGCGAAGGAAGTGGCGAAGCTGATGCGAGGTGCGAGGCTGACACATTTGCCTCCTGAGTCCAAGTACACCCTTTGTCATCGAGACGTACGAGGATTTCCTGAGGGATTTGCTCAAGGCGACCCCTCGTCCAACAGAGAAGCTGCTGATCGATGCCTGCAAGCTTGTTTTCGAACGCACGGACAAGACGGACTGTAGGACGCAAAGGCTGCTGGGAGCAGTGATTCCTCTACCCCGATGTTGCAGGACAGTCAAGGGCAGCAGGCTTCGTGAAGGTCAACAAAGGGCCTGCCTCATGAGACCGTCTCGCAAAACATCAATCAGTAGGTGCTGGACTTACTTGGCCCAAAGGTTATCGGAAGTCAACGTGCATTAACAGACCAGGCATACTTATCCTGAACATAAACAAATGGCACAGTCCAGCAAGGGTGCAAGCAGTTGCAGCACAGGCAAGGGCATGCATCAGTTCTCAAGAGTCATGCATCAAATTCGTGTCATGCAGAAGTGCTGGACCAAAGCATGCAAGTACACCAACACTCAAGCAAAGTGGGCCTAGAAACACAGGAGTGGCCACCTGCTGTCGCAAGACTAAGCTCAGTGGCTTCTAGCGGTGGACCGGGATGTTGATGTTGCACCCATCTCCCATGTCAGTCGTCACCTATGCTCCACCGTGCTGCGGGATGGCGACTGGGAGATCAAAACGGCGTGATCGACGTGTCGTGCTTGCCAATGATGAAGGCCCCGGACTCGGCGTGGTGGGACTTTGCCGTGTTGCCGATGGAGGCAATGCTTTTGAGCGCCTCTTTGGTAGCCGTCAGTGCTTTCAGAAAGCTATCCACATTCGCGCCCATGGTGCCTAGTTTGGCAGTCACCACTCCAAGAACACTTTCAACAGCACTCACCCGGCCGACAAGTCTTTAGCATCTTTGGCACTGCCCGCAAAGTCCTTGCGGAGGGTTCCGATCTCCACCTTGATCGATCCCACGTGCATCTTGACAGCTGAAAGGGCCGGGCCATGGTCCTGGATGCCATCCAGGAGCCTCGACATTTTCGCTGCAAAGTTCTTCGTTGTCTTGCGGACATTCTGCACCTCTTGAAGACATGACGGAGGGGTGACACTTGGCGCCCTATCACCGGTTGCGGCTGTAGTGCTCGGTGAGGTGCTCGACACCGGCTTGGTGTGCTTGGCGGTGTCGATCTGCTTAGTGTCAGGTTGCTTGGCCGGACCACCTGGTGCCACATCAGGGCTCGGTTTAGGGTCCCGCAAATGCCAAGGAGATCCTTGGCGGACTGGCCGGCCCCTGCATGCTCTTCCCCATGTCGCTCTTTCTCTCTCGAGTAGGTGGGTCCTGGTTTGGTGTACCCGGAGCCGTGGGGTCCTTTCCACGCGCATGCCCACCAGAGTGTGCTCCGCCAAGGATTTACGGTTGTTGTATTTTTTTGTCGTTTTGCTTGTACATGACCGTGTGAATCATTTGTATTTTGCTGTAGAATGTTTAGACATCGTAATCTGTTCAAGATTTGCTGATTAGTTTCCAGTGTGAATATGGTTGAATTTTTTCCAATAACAGCGCTTATTCTTCTAGAGCGCACTCAATTTCTTAATCTTCTAACTCCGTCCCAAAATGCGACGGAATAATTGCCTTCATCATTTGCGATATTAATTTTACCGCGTAAGGTTAGGATTACGAAATTAAGCACAAAATAATTGAAATGCTGACGCGTATGGCGAAATAGAAAGTGGGGCGAGGCCATCCCTAATTGTGTCTGAGATTCGAACTTGACAGGCTTAAGGGTCAAGAGTAGAGCGTTTCACCCGCCCGAAACTAACATGGATCTTCCATGAACCTGCAAAACTTGAATGGACAGCCACCTATACCAGCCGCATGTTGATGGTCCATGTGTTTTAAACAGGGTTCAGGTTCGGGTTGAAAGGCAAAGGCTTGATTTAGATTCCACCTGATATGCCCAGTGTTCTATGACGTAGGTCTTATAGGATGTAGCATTTTGGGGTGTAAGGGAACGATCGGATTTGGAACGGTAAGCCACTTCAATCGTACAATGCTACACTACACCAACAAATGCAAACATTTTTCCGGGCCGCCCCGCCTGTTCCATCTCCTTGTCAGGTATAGTCACCAAGTTGGGGTACTGCAGTATTGTCCTGCTTTCTGCACGTGCAAAAGAAGCAAACAAAGCAAGACTTTAATGCTTCAGAGTCGTGTGTATCATAAACAAAAGTAAAGGAAGCATACATCCAATCCCAAAAGCCCCACATCCCAAAACTTTAAAGCCCCCCAAAGTAACAATCAAAGTCTCCCTGTGGGCGCGATGGTCCGCTGGACGAGCTCTGGCACGCACTCCACTGGCACCTTTGACAACTGAATCCGGGTTACAAGCTTTTGGGCTTCGGGATTCTGCTTGTATGGTGGGAAACAAAGCTTTTCTACGTGCTTTGTGCCATCTTACTGCTGATAGGATGCATGTACAACATCGCACGGTGTGCACAGGCTACTTAGTTCTGCTTCATGTCGTGAAACGTAGCTGCGATGCGTGGTATGATGTACGGTCACAAAACAGCTATACAAACAACCCACGTTACTGCAAGTTCTCTAGAAGCTGCCCACTCATTTCAGGTATTGAATACAACATCCGCCATTTCTAGTCAGCCGCGTCACGGCTTCGTTCGTGGGCTGTTGCATGGGTTTTTCGTCATCCCCTTCGAAGAATTGGGTGATTGGGAAACAAAGGACCCTTGAAGGATTTAGCCCATCATCGTATCTGCTTGGGAACCACGCACTCCTTTTAAGGTGAATTTTTGCTCACAACCATCTTGCTTTCAGGTGTTTATACCGTGCGCTGTGAGCTTTTAGACTCTCGCAACTCGGGCAATGCAGGCGAAGTGGGTCCGCGGTTCGCAGGGAGAAGCACATGTGGTCCCTGGGTTAAGGTATCAGGCCCTGTTTTCATGGTTCGGGGTTTGGCAAATTTTCAATCCTCAAGTCTTTACAGCATCCTATATTGTACACGAACCAATAACATACCAGGAGCAAAAAAAACACTCCCCACGCAACGGAAGATGTGTTTTCACAAAAAACGATGCTACAAGGGGTAGACTTATGTCGCGGCAGAATTCAAAAGTCACGGCACCGCATGGTCGCGCTGCATAAAGTGAAGTCGTGGCAGGGGCCCAGAAGGCATTGCACAGAATGTGTTTATCTAAGGAATCCCAAAGTACATGCTGTGTTGCAAAACTGCTCGGGCGACGCCTTAAAACAACACAAACAGATATCAGGCCCACACGCTGGCAAACTGCAACTTTTTCGTAGATCAAATTATTCCAGGACATTGCCCCCCTTGACACGCGCCCTTCAGAAGCAGGAGCACGGAGGGTTTCAAGAAGTGTTTTCAACATTGCAGCAGTAGCAGTTGCATCCAGCTGACAAAAACACATGGTAACCAAGCTCCACCCCATGTAGGCGCTCGATTGGAGAAGCACCTGCTCAAGACACACGTCGGTCGAATCATAACACATCAAAACCAGCTAATCCCCAATGTGGACGCTCGATTTCACAAGCACACATTCCAGACAAACATCAGAGGCTAGCCAACCATTCCCCATGTAGACGCTCGTTTTGAAAAGCACCAGCGCAAGACACACAAGTCGCTTTCCTTCTGGTAGCTGGGGTCCAAAACCTTTGGCTTTATAAGGGGTGTAGACTTGGCCCTGCGCGAGGCCCGCGCGAGGTCCGCGCGAGGCAGTGGTCAGGAACGGCGTTAGTTGGGTTTTGCATGTCGGCAAACAAGCATCTCCCGAGCATTACCTCGGAATCCCCATGTGCTTGCCGGTTCGAGACGACTTCTACCGAATTGCCTTCTGAGCGTTTGCACGGTATCCCGGTATCCCCATGTACACGCCCGCGCGAGGACCCTGCAACGGTCGATGTTTGGACGTATGCCATGCGGGCCGGGCCCGGATTGCTTAACCGCAATGTCAACGCAGAAAGATGTGTATTTCCGCAACAAGATTGATGCGAGTTAAACCCTCCCCTCGTAGTAGCCGTAGTGGCCGCAGTACCGGTTCCCCCATGTCCACGCGCACACGCAACGACTTCCGCAAGATGATACGACTTAGGTCAACCCCTTGTGCTGGCTGAATGTCTTCGATCACTCGCTCAAGTTTGGGCACGCGCTTGATTCGGATATTGCCATTCCCCCGCGAGGCGGTCACCGAGTCTCCGACTATCTGGAATAGCATTCAACACCAACCGAACACGGTCGACAAAATCTCGGAGATCCTTGAGCAACAGTGGTGCTGTAGGCGCTGCCGCAGGCGATGCCCGCTCAACTTATGCCGGCGTTGGCAAGGATGCTGCAAAGCTTATAGGCCTAGCTTCAGCTCCGCTGCGGTTGTTAGGAAAAAAACCAAGACCGGAAACTAGCTGCATCGGAGGCACCGCTCTCCGCCATACCGCAGGAAACTTATATTGCTACGGGGCAACATAAAGCATGGTTCGTGGAAGGTAGCCAGCGAAGAAGCCGGGCATTCCAAGTACGGACAGCGCATGTATGCTTGTTGCCAGGTACATTGTGGACATGTTTCGGGGGCCAAGTCGCAAAGCATCCACGAACATTGTGCCGGATTCGTGCTGGCCTGAGCTTGCCCATTCTGGCCATCCATCTCGCATGCCTAGAAGTGACCGTCTGACCATAAACGGCCACAGCAACGGCGACCATCTCGCACATTGCACAGGATCCGCCTCCAGTATAAGGAGGGGCTGGTCATGCAGCATGGCGATCAAGCTTCGGTTCACCAACTATGCCGTGTGCCAGCTCAATTGCGGCTCCAGCATGCCCAACGGAAGCATTTCTGCCAGCACGAACCTGCAACAGCTCATCCGCCAGAGAAACCATGCGATGCATCAGAACCATCGGGGGCTACAGGGCCAGAAGGAGGAGTTGTTCCCATCCGAGGGCTACGAGTCATCGGCGGCCGAGCCACCATCAAAGCAGCAGATGAAGCTGATGCCAGAGACTCATGGCGGCCGGTGTGCAAGTCCAAAGCTTGATCCATGGCCGCGATCCAGGATCGCTTTTCATTCTTGAGCCATTCACTAGCGACGGTCATATACATATATATATATATAACTAGCCCACGAAGAGAAAACATAAAAACAGTCGTAACGGTCTAGCCACCACGAGCTTGCATTTGGGGTTTGCGGTTTGCGATGTGGATAGGTTCCTATACCCCCAACCGCCCCAACCCTAGCCATGGCATAAACTCGAAAGCCTCAGGACTCAGCTCTATTCTTCGTCACGCCAGAGCCAAGTACACGCTACGTTCGGGGACCTGGTCCCTGTGGGAATGCTGTAGTTTTTGGAGCGTTGAAGGTTCCAAGTGCAGGGTTGGGTTTCATGGCGTTCAGGACGGGCGTTTGGGTGCAAGTAGGGGTTCGGGGTTTGGAAAGACTGCACCCTCAACCCCAACCCAAGGGATTAGGGTTTCGTTTAGGGTTCAAGGATAGCCTCGGTATAGTTGGATGCCGCCCGTTTGTGCTCGCAATTTTCGAAGAGAGTCCACTGCGGACACAAAGCGAGGTCCTGGTTGCGACTTTAGGGTTTCGGGTTTTAGGTGTTGAAGGTTTGGGGCTTATAATTTCATGAAACGTTTTGTGTTTCAGAAATTGACGGACCCTAACATGGACTCAAGATTTTACGAACATTATTGTAAAGCCCCTGAATAAAGTGTCCCCATTCTAAGGAACCAGCATGGTATCGAGAGCCTGGAAACAGGGCAGCTGCACAGGACGGCTTTAGATGTAGAGCATCAGAAACATTATTAAGGGACCGACCGGTAATGGGAGAGCTTACCCTCGGTGACGAAAGTTACTACCGAAGACTCTACACCCATCTACACCCCAAGTCTCAGCACCCTAAACCCACCATGCTCAACACAAAGACCCCGAGTCGCACCTGCTTGCATGAATTCGGCCTCCAGAACTCCGCAGTTCCGAGATGGTGGAAAAGGGTCAGATAGATCTGAAGGCTTTAGGTTTTACAAGGGTTCAGAGGGTTCTACAGCTTGACAGGATGTGGAAAGGGTTCAAGGCCCAGGCATGCTCAAGGTTTCACATCTGTGCAGGTAATACATTGACACATATTTTCACAATATACCAATGTGACAATATGTATACAGGCTACAGGCATGAACAAAAAGGCACAATCTGCCGTCAAAGGCTTCATGTCGAATCTGTGTGCGAGAGTGTTTCGTGTAGGTGTGAGCTTGCAAGGTGAAATCCTAAACCCTAACCCAGGATGCAAAGCCTTGAAGCCCTTATGGCACTTATTCCTACTCCTGCTTTGCAGAGTTCGCTAGCCCAACCAGGTTACTTATTACTCAACGACCAAGCCACGTAGAACCCTGAACAAAAACCTGCTAAAGCCCTGTAATAACACCCGTCAAATGTCTTAAAAGACCTTAATTCCCGAGCCACGCCTGCAGCCCTCGGAACCATGGCAGCATCCACATGCTGGCCCGAGGCTATGCTCTTAGTAACTCATGGCTTCAAGGCTCCTGTCGTTTCGGTTTCGGCTTTATGTCGTTAAGGTTTATAGCTTAGGGTTCATGGCTTGGTATTGGCGGCTTCAAGCCTTTAGGCTTTCAGCGCATGGTGGTTTGCCGGTCTGCGGCTGCAACCCACACAGGGTGCGATGCGTGGATTCGAAATGCTTGGGTGTAAGGTTGGGGGAGTCGGATAATGAGCTCAGAAATCAGTACCGGGGAAGGAGCACCGGTGTCAAGACTAAACCAGATTCCACCCCTACATGTCTGACACCGTCTAAGCCCAACTCGGTCTTGAGTGGTGCTCATATTGATCCCCCCTTGAAGGCCTTCGTTACACTAAGTTCGTAAGAAGCTAAGTAAGCATCACATCAAGCCGATAAGCCTGCAAGCAGACTTTGCATCATTAGAGGCTGGATGACAGAACCACCGGTAAATTTGATGAAGCTGTTGAAGGACCCCGAAGACATGCGAAGCGAGTGATCGTGAGGTGCGTATCATGAGTGGGTTCACCGCCAACCTCGGCCCGAGTCTGCCTTGGAATTTCTTCTATCCG